CATCTCTCTCCTTGCCTTATGTTGCCTCACCTCGGTTGTCTCCTTCTCTTGGCCTCCGGCTAGGCATCCGCAGAGTCGCCTCCTCACATCTCGATGCTCATGACGCTCGAGACAACAGCAGCCCTACATAAGCACGGAAACGGCGGATGACCGACGCCCATCCCCCTCCGACGTCCAAGCGGCCTTGCAAGCCCATTGTCAAAGACCACACATCCGCTTCATCTATAATCAAGCGAAGCAAGGCGAAGTGTTGCTCCTTCCATATCAACCAACCGATGAGAAACACAGGGAATTGAATCCCGACCATCGGCGATTTGGGGACCCTTTGCTCTCAATGAAGCCACCGGAGGAAAACATTCTCCTTAGGAACAAAAAGCGAAAGCTATCGATGTGCGGACTTTCTTAGGGCAATTTCGAGCGGCCTTCTAAGAGCTATCTTATAGAATAGTGAGCCTGGAGAAAATTGCAATTATAGAATGCGAAACAATGCGCTTCGTTATTATAGGACTCCACATCGACTTCGCTAAAATGGCCCTCAAGCGTTGGCACTTGTTATACATGACATTTGATCTTTTTAATCACTTTTCTCAAAAAAAATACATGTATTGTGCCATGATGTGACCGTATTGTCCTTAGGGCTTCAATTGGCGTGGATGGGGAACAGCGGCGCTTCTTTGCTTTGCTGGCCTCAGAGTCGCGATTTGGGTTAGGTAGCCGCCATTGTGGCATGGCTGCTCGACCCACAAGGTCATGTTGGCCGCCATGTCTGATTTAATATAATATAAATTATCAAGATGACCCATACGATTTACAATGTAATAGATAAAACCATAAATTTAGCACAAACAAAGCTCATCTCATAAAATCATGATTGTAGCATAAACAAGTTCATCTCGAGAAGACCATAATTTAGTTCCAAACGAGATACAAGTCATATGAAATAAAGCATAAGTTTACATCTCATCACAACTAAAATAATTCATCAATGTGTAGCTTTCTCTTGGAGTCATCTTCTTTTTGTCTATTGCATCGTGGTAGAGGCATCCTCAGGGACTAGTGATGTCGGTTTGTGAAGATGTGCCCTCCTAATAACATCGCAAGCTTGCTGCACATAAATACGATATGACAATTATATGTATGGAAAAATTAATGTCACGATAGAATGTGTTAATATTCTTTACCTTACGGTGACCCTTCCTGGACTATCTTGTAGGATTTCTTTTCTGAGTATCAGCCTCAGGTAGGGTTAGGAAGGTTCTGCTTTGTAGCTTTTGTAACACTCTTCCTAGGTTGCCTACGTTTCCTACAAGTAATCAAATAAATTAATATTAACATTTTCATTTAAGTTTCTTGATAAAGAAAATTAGTTCTTACCTCTTTTTTGTTGTCCCATTTAGTGGGCACTTGGCACTAGCTTGCCTGTGACATTTTTCTCCGCATTTTTTGAAAGTCATAGGTCCTCTGATCATCTTCTTTCCCTTTCCATTTGTTAGAAGCAATTATCGCTTGTCACATCCCCTGCTCTCACCTTCACCCTCGTTGGTAAATTCACCACCTTTCTTCTCAGGCCACCTTCCATCCATCCCTTCCTTCTTAGTTTCCTTCGTCTTCCAAATTGGTGTAATTTAGCAAGAGGTGCACCAACTAAAAATGGTAGGTCAACTTGTGGCCATTGGCTTGTTTTGGTCTCATCATCGGCTCAATCTCTTCCATAAGCGATACTGAATCTATTGACCAAGTAGTAGTCATGCACAAACTGTTCAAGGTCAACTCCCCATTGGCGGGTTACATAGGCCAATACATATTGACATGGCTTACCAAAGGTGTCTTTGCCATTCAAGACATGTACAAGTCCTTTCGTAACTTGATAATATCCTCTCAACTCTGCGCTATGGTCCCACACCTCTCGCACTCCAATTAGAACATGGTACAATTTTCAAATGTCCCTAGGCCTCTAGTATTTGCCTTTAAGTGATGCATAATAATTTGAAGTATCCACGCCTTCCATGCTTTCAGATGCCACATTTCTTAAGCTTGTTCCACAACCATGATCATTTCTCTAATCTTATCAAAGAAGGTCAGCAATGGTAAGTCTTTATGGTCTCTAATCGGGTTATTAAATGACTGCGAATATTACTAGTTATGTAGTCACATTTAATTTCCGGATTGAAACCACACCTATACCATAATAACTTATAAGATTGGTCCTCATAACCATTTCATTACCGCTTCGATGATTCACTTACCATTTTTGCTATATATTGCTATAGAATATGTCTTCTCTTGTAAGCCCTTCTTCGCAGGATATATCCGCCAAACCATCTATATCTCTTGGAAAATTTTGACAAGATAGTAAAAGCATTCTCTCTTTGCTCTGCATTTGGGAATACATTCTTCACTCCGCATTCTCCAAGCCCTTGCAAGCATCGTAACAAAACAAAGAAGGAGTAGAAGGATCACCTATAGCCTTCTTTTAATTGTTCCATGAACCAAGAATCCAGCTTTATCTCGTTGTTTTTGAAGCTATGAAGCCATAAGCGGTGGATACATCCACTTGTGACCATCAAGCTCGCTTATAGCTGCCGCCATGAATGCCATTCCACCTTCCATTAAGTGTTGTAGCATTTATGCTCAATTGAGGCCTATAACATTCCAAGAAACCATCAATGCATGGTTTAAGAGCACATAAAAAACAAGTGAAATATACTTGACCATCCACCTTGAAGTACCTCAATCTCAACGACACTCCCGGCACCGCTTCATTACCTCGACCTTCCAACTAAACAAGAGCTCAAAACTCCCTTCCCATTTGCCATAAACCTCATCAAGAGCTCTTTCTTTAATCCCGCCCCATACAAGTGTCATATGCAATTTGACACTTGTGATCTTTTCTCAGCAACTTCTTTTGCAATTCCTTAGCACCAATATTTAGATCATCTCTAAGGATACTCTGACCTTTGCTAGCTACCCACTTCGTGATTTGAGTTGTAGTTATCCGCCTCATGCTAGACACACATGTATAGTTATCCATTAAAAGACAGTTACCGCAAAAACAAAAAATCAATGAGATTCATATTAATTTACATAAAAAAGTAGAATTAATGAAAGAAAAAATTATTCACCTCCACAGTGCTTTGGCCTTTATGTTTGGTGCCATTTATCCTCCAAGGGCAAGGGCAATCTTCATCCTGGACTTGCAAAAAAGCCCTAAATCTCGCTCTTGCATGACTTCTCTTGCTCCTAAATCAAACTCCTTATTATTGATGGCAAAGCGTCACAGACCCGCTAACTTTTTAACTCCTCCATTGTTGGTGCACCGTGTTCCTAAATCCATTGATGGGTTGTTCTTATCATATGAAATGAACCATCTCACAGTACCTCATCACTAGTAGGGGATGGCGGCTACCATCATTATTTTGCCCAAGCTCATTATCATCCTTGTTCATCCATTG